TTAGTATTTTTATAAATAATTATTTTCTTTTCCAAGTAATAATAATTTATTTTAACGTGTAATAATTAAATTTTCGAAATAAAAATTCTATAATTCTTAAACAAATAATCGGATAATTTATTAAGAATAAAAACTGTCTTGATGGTTATAAATTTAGTTTTATTGAGAACATTTAGCACGCTTAGAAATTTAGGCAAACAAATAAATTACTTAAATTTTTTTTTTGGTATTATGAAAATGTTAGTAATAATTTTATGGCATTACATTTTTCACAAAAGTATTGTTGAAAAATGTATTTTCTATTTTACTATGCCTAACATTATATATTTATTTTAATACATATTATTATATTAAACTATATTATAAAACATTAGTTGAAAAACAAAGAAAATGACACTTGTAAAAATGTTATTTTATCGACGCAATAAAATCTGTTACAAATCTAACACATATATTAAAATAAATCAATTTATGTTATTCAAATTTCGATAGTATTAACAGTTAAAATTATTCATTTTTTCTTTAGAAGATTAAAATAATTTATACAACTACTGACATTGTTCACAGTTTAATTGATTAAATAATGGCTATAATTTCCGACAAATAAAAGTACTAAATATTTAAGATTAGTGAAAAAATTTATTTCTACTCATAATATACATAAGTAATTTACCAGCCAAAATTCATAAAAAAAAAACCCAGCACAAAAACCCCACGGCACAGTGGGGTCGTGGCATAGTTGGATCCAGTATAGATGATATCTCACAGTGATTAAAATCACTATCATAAAAAACGCTTCGATGCAAATCTGTAGATAGTGTTTAATTAAAAAAAAAAATTTGTTAAAATAGCATATTTTTGAATATGGTAGCCATTTGCGCATAGAAGATAGGTAGTCGGGACAAATTTTTTTTTTCATTTTTATTACATAAAATAAGTTATAATTTGATATATGTTTAAAGGACGCAGTATTTCCGGAACATTTTCAAAAATTAAGTTGAAAAAGTTACTATTTTAAATCCCCCCAGTGAGCAGAATAAGTGTTAGATTTTCAAAAAAAATTATATCAAAAAAGGGAAATATCTAAGGTTTCAATACAAAAAAATATTATTTTTATTTGTTCATTTTTGAAAATGTTATGGCAGTTTTAAGTACAAAAAACATCCCGATAAAAGATCATTTTTATCGCAAACATTACATTTTTTTTTAATTTTCGACAGCCATTTGCACATAGAAGATAAGATGTCAGGAAAAATTTTTTTTTTTTATTTGATAGTATATAACATAACCTTTGATTTGATATATGTTTAAAAGACGCAGTATTTCTGGAACATTTTCAAAAGTTCACTTGAAAAAGATCTATGTTTTTTACAATATTTCAAGTTTTGGACGCCTCCTATATAAGGGGAAATTGTCCAATTTTAATAAAATGTATGTCAAATAAAAAATGTACTTATAATGTATTTAGAAAAAAAAAATTTGTGCTGACATATACATTTTTCAAAAAGTTATGGCATTTTTAAGTTGAAAATTTAAAATCGAAAATTTTAACACAAAAATAGTGTTTTTTTAACTATGGCAGCCGTTTAAATGTAGAAGAAAAAGTGTCGGGACAAATTTTTTTTTTCATTTTATAGTACATAAAATAAGCTTTCATTTGATATATGTTTGAAGGACGCAGTATTTCCGAAACATTTTTAAAAATTAAGTTGAAAAAGTTAATTTTTTTAAAAAAGTTGCTATTTTAAATCCCCCCTAATGAGCAGGTTAAGTGATAGATTTTCATAAAAATGATATGAAATGAAAGGTAAATATTCTAGTTTTTAGTATAATAAAAAATTATGTTGATTTGTTTATTTTTGAAAAAGTTATGGAAATTTTAAGAAAAAAAAGTGAAAAAATGAAAAAATTTACCGATTTTTAAATTTGTAATTTTTTTGGATATTTCCCCCATTTGCGGGGAACGAGGGAATTTTTTAAAATTTTTAAGGGTAATGTCTTCAACTAGATACAATTTGTGATCTTTTGACGTATTTTTAAAAGAAATCGGTCCAGTGAGAGCTGAGAAAAAGTGGCAACAGACATAAAAAAAAAAAAAAAACATATCACGGTAAAATTAATACCTTCTCCGCTTCGCATCGAAGCTAAAAATCAATTTTAAACTTACTTAAGATCTACTAAAAATTTACCATATAATGACGCTAATCATGATATCCATGCTATCAATTTCAACTTACAATTTTGAAACTAAAAAAATTATATTCTACAGTAAAAATTAAACTACTTTGATATACTATTCATTAAAATCATAGAATAAATTATGTTAAATATCCCTTACAAATTTTATTATATACCTTGATGGTTTATTATGCAGTAGATTGTTATAGTTTGAAAGTATGAATTAAATTTGTACTTATGTTATATCACATAACGATATTTTAAACAATCCAACGTTGGTTTCACGTATTAAATATGCTTTAAATGTGGTTGGGTTATTAAACGCGTTGTATAGTCAATATAACTATTTAAAAAAATTATTTAATTTAATTAATACGTTCCGTTACATAAGTTATATGACTATTTTTACATGTAAAGAATTCTAAACACTATTTATTTATTTTTTTTGTATTCTACAATAAAATCAAACTATTTTGATATACTAATCATAATATTTGACAAAAATATAAATATAAAATATAAAATTGAAACAGAGGCCGTTGTTTATTTTTCAGAGAATTTTCGATCAAAATACTAAAAGCACGTTGAGCGACAAGTAAAAATTGTTACAAAAATCACTATTTTACAAAATGTCTATTATAATATATATAATAAAGTTAAAAGGGTTCTCATTAAAATTTAGAAGATGGACTATTTTTATCCATCCTTATATGTATATTCAAATATTCATATATTTTTTTAAATAAAAATCCATTGAAACAATTTGAAGAATAACCATAATATTATGTTGAAAATTTTGTATTATTTAAAATATTTATCTGAATGCCAGTCGGTCATGTGTGCAGTAAATATTTAGTATATCACCAATTATAAAATTAATTAGTATAGAAGTCAATCTATTGTCAGAATTCGGTTTTTGCATCCCCAATATCTGTGTGACTCCCTGTGAACCAGTTCCAAGTTATCACCACCTACAACACATCAACATCAACATCAACACATGACTATACCTAAATGCTTTCTTTCCAATACAGTATTGAGGTGCAAAGATGTATATTTTTGTCATTCATGTTTTCAATGATGAAAAACCACGTTCTGGCTCTAACATATAAATATATAATTTATAAATTCAATGCAGTTTTTGCAAGTTTACTCTTTGGTGGATGTTAGCGAGCACAAGCTCTGTCTTAAACGGCGTACATCACAATTTTATTTTAAATTTGTGATTTTAACGTTTAAATGTTGCGTCGTCTTATTAGTGATTTTAAAATGATCTATGAAACAATTTAATGACCAGCGTTTTGTTGCCTACTTATTGATAATTAAGTGTTCTTGTTAGTAACATTTTATATTTTCTCTGAAACTCTGACAATCAAATCTTAAAACTACTTATGATATTTTTAGGCTACACAGTTAATTTATTTTTCAAACTTGTCAGAATAAATTTTGAATACTTATTTTAAAGTTCAGCTGTTTTTAGACAAATTACATCGACGTGTGCTTAGATTTTATATAATAAGATGTGTTATAAAAACAGTTTTTATATGCCAAAAACATATTGAGCTACCAGCAAAATATTTTTTAAAAATTTCAAATTTTCACAAAATGTGAATTTTAATGTATATAATAAAGTTAAAATGGTTCTCATTAAAATTTCGAAGATGAAAATTTTTTTGATCCACCCTTATGTTTAGCCATCATTCAATCACTATTTTAAACCCCACTTTGTATTTACATTACATTATTATTTATGTTTTCTACATTTTTCCTTAAAATAAAATATAATTAATTTTATAATTATTTTATTTTTGGCTTATTACAGTGCACCTTTAAACATGTATTAAATTAAAGTTTTTATTGCATAATTTAAGTTAAAAAATTATTCTGAAACCTAATGTTCTACAATTAAAGGGCTTTGAAGTTAAAAGAAAATGTTATTTTGATGTAAAAAACAAACCATTTTATTGTCATAAAAAAATGAATCTGACACCGCTATAATTAATTAAGAATGAATTAAAAAATTAATGAATAACTGATGGTTTAAGTTATATATGATACTATAAAATACCAAAATTAATTTTCTTAACATAATTATTATTTTAAGAGAAATCGAGTGGCTAGCATTAAAAATAATATGCTTATATAAAAAAAAACCAATTTTTTCGTTATATTTTTATTCGGCAATTCCCTATAATACTCCCTTAATAGGAATAAGACCTAAAATTTCAAAAACTATATTTGCGATTATTTTCTTAAGTTACTGAAATAATAAAAAATCTTATTTATTATTCAGGCTGAATAAAACTTTACAATATTGTATTGTTTTTGAGTAAATTTCAGTGACGTGTGCTTAGAATTTTTTCCATAAGGAGGGTCATACAACCAGTTTTTATAACCCACTACGAATTGTATCTAAAATTATTATTGTTATAATTTGTTTTAATCCCTAGCTTCCTATAGGTTATATTGTTTATTTCTCTATTATGGCCACTTAGTATTAATTAGAATCATTTGCTTACACCCCATATAAGTACTAAATCTGGGTGCAAATAAATATTCACGAGCACCTGGATTCATTTTCTGATCATTTCAGAAATAAAACTTTTGAAAAATTTACATTTTTCTATTAATAAAATTTAGTCTTCGAATAAATAGATTTAAATAAACAATTTAATAAATAATAGTATTTTATTATTTATTTGTAATAAATCTTATAGGATTTGATTATTCTTATATTTACTTTTATTTTTTTAGTGTATATTTTTGGAAAGCAAATATTGAGGAATATATACCCATTATTTCTGATAAATAGTGTTGGAAAAATCTTAAACACCCAGACGTGTATTCTATATATTATTCATTAAAACAAAATATTTTCAAACTTATAAAAAATGAATTTAATATGTCAACTATTTATATACTGTTCATTTATTGTGATTCATACCAATGCTGTTTTAGATCTTCAAATTTTAACCGTGGTTGCTCAGAAAATGTCTAGAACAAGTTAGTACTATCTAATTTTTAATAAATATTAAAAAACTGAAACACATTTTTATTAATGCAATTTTGAACAAAACAGAATGTGCAGTGTATATGTATTCCAATATTATATAATTATATTTAATAAATACGTTTTATTTGAATAATATATGATATATAATATATCATATTATTCAAAAGATCAATGTAACTTTTGGATTTAGTATTAATTTTTGAATGTAGAATCCAGTATTGGACATTTTTAAATATTTTTTATACAACCAAATATTTTATATTTAACATAAATTATTAAATATTTAAGAATTATCGAATATTTTTATTATTGAATAATTATCGAATTGTCGGTCATAGCTCTTACATAAAACAATGCTATAAAATAAGTTAACATTAAAATATTTTAATATAAAATATGCATTGTCGTAACTACGGAAAAACACGTCACTAAATTTTCAGTCTTCTTTCAGGAGGATAAAAAAATATTCCATTGTTGTATTCTTATCAAAACATACTATTTCATTTAGATAGTCCAAAAACTCATTTTTATAAGAAGAGCTAGTAATTAAAATGATTTCAGTTTTTCAAACATTTTGACCATATCTTTTAAGTTAATTGACTTATATCGATTTTTATTCGAGAATTAGTTAGGTAAATAATTTTAGAAACCAAAAGTATTATGAAATTGCTTTTAAGATCTCAACCAGACTAAAAATTTGACCATATAAATTAATAACCCAAAAATAACATATATATATATATATTATTTTTAGATAATATTGATTACTAATCATGTTTAAAATTATATTTAAAGTTCAATTGAGGTTTCTCATTAAAGGATAACTTAAAATATTTTTGGATTCTGTAATCATTTTTTTACATTCATAATTAAAAAAAATTTATTTAATATAGATGAACTAATTTTTTAAATATAAGAAAAATTAATTTTTTTTTAAACTTTTTCAAAAAAGAACAAAACAACATAAATTTTCTTTATATTGAAACCTTAGATATTTTCCTTTTATTTGATATCATTTTTTTCAAATCTAACAATTAACCTGCCCACAAGGGGGGATTCAAAGAAGAAATGTTTGCGCATAAATTAAACTTTTTCCACTTAATTTTTGAAAATATTCTGGAAATATTGACACTTTTATATATATCTTATATTAAATCTTATGTAATATATTACACTATGAAAAAAAAATTCGAAATATAAGTCGTCTTCATAGTAAAAATGGTTACCCTATTCAAAAATATGCTATTTTTATGTTAAAATTCTTGGTATTGTATTTTAATTTATTTTAATATACCTGATAAGAGATAACACTGATTTTCATGAATATTATATCAATTAAATTGATATTAATTAAAATGTAGAATATAAAATTGAACTTATTTAAATATTTTTGCTTCTTTTAAGTCGCAAGTTAAGTGACTTTAAAATTTGAAATAGCTTAAATGGCAAATTTTTTCCAACGATAAATGATGAATGGTTGCCGAACCGGTAACAATTATGTCTTCCACGTTTGGGATACTAGATTCATACTCGCGCCTGAGGCAGCGAATTTTGTGCATTTTTTCCTTAATTCTTTTTGAGTTAGAAAAAAATTTACGATTACCGTGACAAAAGCTTATATAATATACTTCAATATAAAATATATTAATATAATAAAAATTTCGAACTTTATTTTGTTTTCATGGTCAAAACGAGTATCAAATTTAATAAAAAAAATACGATTTTTGTAAAAACATTCTTTTTTATATATTTAACTTTATAATTCTATAACTTTTTTAAAAAATGTACGAATCAATACAATTTTTTATGAGTAATACTATTTATATATCTCTTTCATTCGACATACCTTTTTTTAAAAAATGTCCCTTTATACAGAGGTGGTTTAAAACTTAAAATTCGTATAAAAAGTAAAACTTGTTCAACTTATTTTGCTATGAAGAGTAGAATATTTGACATTTATTAAAATAGCTGTTAAATTTTAACCTATTAAAATAATGAAAGTCAAATTAAAAATAAAATTCTGTTTTAAGCAACATTATTTGTAATAGAATATTCGCCCATGTTAGTTGTCAGAGCTTTGATGGACTTTAGATACTACCGTTTTACAAAGGTGCAGAAATCGATGAAGAATCGTATAGTCATGTTACAAACAATTTTGAACCATAATTAATTAAAATACGGTTTGGTTTAGATTGATATATGGCCAGGAACATTTAATTAATAATATTAAAATATTTACATAACTGTAATTATATTGTTAAATGTGTTCGATCCATTTTTTCTTTGTATATTATTATGGTATCAGACAAGCACGTTTGTCCGGTGCGGACCGGTTTCTTGTATTGGATTTATAGTAGTGGTACGATGAACTCGACATCGCAAAGAACGACACGAGCGCCGCCAACATGTCTATACAAAATAAAGTATTATAAACTAAGTTATAAGTTTTGAGTTTTTTATCATTCTTATTAGTTAAACAGTTAATAGTGAACGTATCATACAGTCCACTCTGAAACCGAAATAAAATGTACGTGACTGTATATTTAACTTTTATTATATCATAATGATAATTCACTTAAAATTTTTATTTGATTACACTAATAATAATTAATATTATTATTCATTACAGATGGACTACTTTATAATATTTATCAAACCGGTAAATCAAATAAAATAATAATAGAATACTAATAATAAAAATAATTAAATTAATATTAATGATGGACCAAAAATTATTATATTTCTGTTTGATAAGGCAACAGATAATAAAAATATTTTTATTTTTATTTTTAAAGATTAAATGATTAAAATATTCTTTTTTTAAGCTCAATAAATTATTTTAAGCCCATTAAAAAAAAAAATTTCTTATAAGAACTTGAAAATATGAATCTCATAGCAACACTGAGCTTGAAATATGTTTATATTGTAATACTTAAATATATTGTAATATGCTCTTTTAAAAATTTTGTTACGTTTAGGAAAAGCTGTAGAAGTATTAGCTGATTATTTCGATAATAATACGTATGGTAAGTATCTTATATAATATTATATATTACAGTATTAGTATATAGTATGTATATATACATTTTAGTATTAGTTTGTTTTATTGTCGTATATAGTAATACGACACTAAAAAATATACGTATTTATTTCCATTACTTATTATTTTAAGTAGGAGATGCCATGAAATGCGACGATTTATAACGTTGCAAACTCGTATGTCCTAAGGTATTTGCTAATAATTGTTATCCTCATTAAGTACCTGCTTTTAGCACAAAAATGAGTGTTTGGAACAAATGAGAATTTAATAAAAAAAAAACACATTTTTTGTAAAGCACACAATAAATGTCTCTTAACATGTGATAAATTCACTTAACTTTAAACTGATGTTGGTTATTGTAAAATTAATCTATTGATTTTTTATAAAATTAAAAATTTTTGATAAAAAAGTCATATAAAATTTCATTGCTAATTTTATAGTAATTTAAAAATTGTGTATAGCATTTGATAATGAATTTGAAAATTTATTATACATTTACTTAACTACTCATTTTGTTTTAGATACGATAGTACATTATTTTTTAAGAGAAGGTAATTTTTTATATTATTATCGCTATTATAAATACTATTCCTACTTTTGAGTAAGGTGTGCCTGTGAGATATTTCGCCACAGCTATTTATATTTATCTGAAAATGTTGACACCAATTGTATTGAAATACATATTGTGGTATAATCACATGGGCATTTCAATAAAGTTATTCCCAGACGCAAAATTCTTAGCACGTATTTGTCCGGCACAACAATGTTGTAATTTTAAACAATTAAACACCGTTTTATTCTGAATTATTTATTTTTATAGAATACGATCAATTAACGAGGAATGATAGTGGTAATTACAATTAAAAGTTAAATATTGCGTATCACATAAATTTAATTTTATAAATGTTCAACAATTATGTCCACCGCAAACCTAATCATAACACTACAATAATGTATTTTAAAAATGAATGTTTTTATTTGACATTAGAACGTCAAATAAATATTTTATTAATCTCTGAGATGCTATTGGAAAAATTTTAAATGTAATGCGTGCTTGGTGGAAACTATAACTTCTATTCAAATATTTTATCAAATTAAAAAATGTTTTTAGATGTTCAAGAAATACCACAATCAGAAGAGACATTAGATGCTTACGATATGAAAGAAGAAAAAATTTTTAATGATTACGGTGATTTTGCAATTAAGTTTTTGATCATAATTATTAATATTTGATGGAAAACATACAATTTTAAAATTTTAAATACATCTATGTATTAATAATTGAGTGAATTTGTACTTCTATCACAAATATTTGTTTTAAAAAATAAAATGATACATAAAATTATCTAACTAATTATCTTTTTTAAAATTATTATACATTTTTTTGTTAGCTCTTGAGTGCAATACAAGTTAGTCAATACTGATTTATATATAATCTTGTTATTGTAATACACCCAGAGAAAAACCTCGATCTAGATAATAAATTCATTGTTCAATTTAATAAATATATCATTACTATTGAACCAATGATATATTTATCAATATGATATTTTTTTTTCTTGTCTTGAACAATAATTATTTATAAGAATAGTTATTTTGTTCGTATTAATAAAACATTATCATAAACCCTTGATAAAATTTCTCTATCAATTTTGATTGAGGTTTTTCTTTGGGTGTATGATATAGTTTTAAATTTAAATAATAAAATATTTAAAATTTTCAGGTTTAGGATATAGAGTAAATGGTAAATATGCAAAATAAAAACTAACATTAATTTTTAATTTGGCAAATCTTATTATATAATAGAACAAGGAAAAAAACGCTTTTCTGGGAAAATTACTTAGCGTGCTCGGATTTTCAAAATTTTTTTTTTCCACGAAAGTACTCGGTCACCAGACTCCGGGAAAATTATTGGCGAAGGTCGGAAAATTTTTGCCGCTCGCCCGCGAGCGTTTTAAAATTTCGACCGTTTTCGAGAAAAACGCTCGCTGACGCCAGCGTTTTACGACTTGAGGTTTGAAATTTTCATCAGACCCGCCTAATGACATTCCTCAGATGTGATAAAAAAATCAATTCAATCCGTTCATTTTTCACCGTTTTACGAGCTTTTTTTTTTTTTTAAGTCCACGCGCATGATTGTATTATGCGCAGTGATTCATTTCTGCTGATACGTATTATGAACCTTATTTATATGCTGTATTATGTATTATTATTAGGACACTATTTTGCATTTGCCCTATTTTTATCAAGGAATGTTATATGTTATATATAAATTTCATGACGTTATAATTATTTAAGTTTGTACTTTCATTATAAGAACAGTACTAAGTACAGAGTTAATAATTTTCTTTTTTCTCATATATGATGTATGAGACTATGAGTTTATCTTTTGAATTGGGGTTCATCTATGATAACTATGATGTTCATCGTTAAATCGCAGTTACCAATATATTTATCAAAATTAAATTTTTATTATTATTTTTAATGTTAATTTTAATTTACAGTGTGCCACTTATAATAACCTGCCAAATTGTTTTTTAATTATTCTATAATATAAATACAATTATTTTAATTAGATTATTAATAATTTTTGTGTTAAACAGGGGTGTATTTAATAGAGATTGGCCATTCCTTGAACAAGCGCTATCAATATTTTTTTAGGCAACTTCTAATATATAAGGACCTAATGTCCTTTTTTTTTCATCATTACTTTAATTTTAGCAAAAAAATTTCTATAACATGTTTAACAAAGTAAAAAATATTAAATTTCCTCCTAAAATAATTTTTGAATAGGCCTAAAGGGAATACCTCATTAAGAGGCTTCAACCTTACACCCAATACATTTTACTATATTCTCTTTTTGAATTTTCCTGATTTTAATAATAACATTTTTAGATATAGTTTTCACTGATTCTGAAGTAATATTTTTTCTGAAAAACACTTATCGTGCCCGGCGTAGCCGGGTACTTCTACCGGAATCAGTGGCCTACTTATGATGACTGCCCGAAGAGGCTTATGCGCTGAAGGCGCGTAAGGCTCGAAGGGCCCCGGGTCTGGGGTGGAGCCTAGTCTCAAAGAATTATGTAAAAATAAAAATAATATTATTTTATTTAGTTAGAGGCAACAGAATTAAAATTACACAAAAAACTATACCATAAATAATTAGCTATTTTCATTCCTAGATTTGAAAAAAGAATTAGGATACTGAATACGATTTTATAAATAGTTGAACAATACTGAAATATGAATTAGATATTGTTGTTAATTAACATTTTTACCTATTAAATAATTGACAATTTATCTTAAAATTTCAAAATTGTAACCTTTTCCTTTGAATCTCAAAATTATTAATATTTTAAAAATTACACAACACTGAAGCAAATTAATTTATACAAGTAATGAAATTACATTATTTATTATTCAAAGATTATATAATGGAATAAATTTTTTATAATACATGATAATTAATATCTCTTTTTATAAACCATTATAAATGTGAAGTTTATTGTAAGAAAAAAATTTTCCTAAGGGTATATATTAGAAGTAACTTTNAATATTATTTTATTCAGTTAGAGGCAACAGAATTAAAATTATACAAAAAACTATACCATAAATAATAAGCTATTTTCATTCCTAGATTTGACAAAAGAATTAAGAAACTGAATACAATTTTATAAATAGTTAACCAATACTGAAATATGAATTAGATATTGTTGTTAATTATCATTTTTACCTATTAAATAATTGACAATTTTACTTTGAAACTCAAAATTATTAATATTTTAAAAATTACACTACACTGAAGCAATTTAATTTATGAAAGTAATGAAATGACATTATTTATTATTCAAAGATTATATAATGAAATACATTTTTTTATATGAATAAAATTAAAATTTTTATATTGACTAAGATAATAAATGATAATTTATATTTCTTTTTATAAACCATTATAAATATGAAGTTTATTGTGAGAAAAATTTTTTCCCTAAGGGTAGATTTTAGAAGTAACTTTCGAAGGATAAATAGAAACCAATTATTATTATTTTACTATTTAATGGAGATTGGTTTAAATAAAATGTCCACTCGCTGATATCGAATATCCTATTATTACTTTTCGGTTGTTATTATTTTTAATAGTACATCATGTTGTTATAGTAAAAATAAAACTTGGCTAAACATCACCCCCGTTTCTTACCATTTCTAATTCTTCAAATATTAATATTTTGACCTGTCAACATTTTATTTATACTATTATCTATTTAACAGTCATAATCGTGCAATTATCCAACAATAAATGGACAATCTAAATTTTTTATTTTATTATAAATATTATTTATTCATTTATTTATAATACTTTTTTTAGCGTCATATAACCGAGAAGTTTGGGACCGGAAGATCATCATGGAAAAAATATTTCATAATTACTTCAATTACAAAGTTGGTAAGTTTTGTAGCTATTAATGTTTATAGTAAATTATAGTATTTAGTGGCATTTCCAAGATTTTTTATTTTAATTCACAAAGCATTTGAGCTAAATATTTATATATTTGTTTGATAATTTTTTTATCGTTGCCTTATAATAAAAGAAAGTAGAATACAAAAAACACATTTTCTTTGACGAATTGTTCTATTGAAGAGTACTATTAAACCTGGTAAAAGAATAATAAAAATATTTTAAGCAAGCTAAATAACCTCCAGATAAATGAGTAAAATAAGGATTGAGAATTTCGTTCAATGAAATAGTATAGATAATCGTATAATTTTTAAATACATGACCTTTGAACAATTTCAACCAAATATTTTATTTTGTTATTCAATTGACTAAAAATATATATATAAAAAATTCTAAATTAAAAAACTTAAAAAGAAATTAAAAAGATTCTCAAATAAATTACACTACATACAATGTACCTCGACTAACCTTTCAATAAGTGAAATCAAAACTAATTTAAATATAATTGTTTTAAATATGAACATTAAATTTGAGTGAATGTGCTAATGTTAATGTGTGTTCAGTTATGTGTAGACGTTTCGAACTGATTGCAGAGTTCATCTTCGGAACGACAGTTACCGAAACACCAGCACTAAACTTGAAATCATAAATATAACTTGAAATATACTAAATAATAAATTTTATGGTTTTAGATATGAGTTCTAATCTCATGTGCCAAAACAATGAGAATAAGTTATGTGAAATAATTGCGTTGTTAAGATCTACTCATATATCAGTGAAAATTTTTGAGTTCCAACCCACTTGCGATAACGGTCTATGTAATATCTCTAGATACAATATGCAAGATATTAATCCTTCTGAAAAAATTCTTTTTGGAATTGTCCCAACAATTTTTGTACAGTTAGAAAACAAAACAATCCAAGTCGACACGAGTTCACAAATCAACCTTGGAGTATATAATTTTACTACAAATGAATAAAAATTTAATTTTTAAAAATTATAAGTACCATTTAGTTTTATGTATTAATCGAAATGTCGAAAATATATATATATTAATGCAAAAATAATATTTAAAAGTTATAAGTTAATTGATTACCATTGAACTTATTATCAAGAAATATAGGTATAAGAGTATCTTCATTAAATTTTATTACTTCCTTATCAAAGTCTATGATACTGTTTTGTTGTTCCAAAAAATCATTACCAAGTATTATTAAACAGGATAAGTCTTTCACAACAAATGCTTTAATATGATAATTTATTGATTCAATTTTCAAGGCAATATTTGTTGTTCCTAAAATATTTAATGGTCTATTATCAGGGCCACTTATTTTAAGGTTATAGTGCAATTTGATCTGATTGTGAGGTATCAAAGAATGTGTTATGCAACATATATTTGATCCTGTGTCAATCGTGATAGGTATTTTAATATCATTAAATAAAGCATAAAAATGTATAGCGATAGACATGTGTTTAGTGTGTGTTATTGATAATTATGTGTGGTGCTTTAAAAGGTAAACTATTTCGTTCAGCACCATCGTTTAACCTAGTACTTAGTTTTTTGGAAGTTCTTTACAGCTTAATGCTGTGTATTCAACTAAATTACAAATTTGGCAAATTCTTTGATTATTTTTGAAAAAACAATTTGACGTGTCATGAGAATTTCTATGACATATATTACAATTAAGATTTTTTGAATATTGAGTTTGTTTATTTAAAAGTACTAGAATTATCGTGATAAAAGCGTCGGGCACTCAATATACGAAAAATATGGCACGAAGCACCCACGCTTTTATCACGATAATTCTAATACTTTTCGTTCAATATTGTTTTAAGCTTATTTTAAAAATTATTTTGAACTTTTTAGTTCAATGTGCTTTAAAAGCGTGTTTTTTAGTTTTTTTAAACTATATTTATTTTTAATTTTTAGTTTTATGTTATGATAGTAGTTACTATCAATATCATGGTTGTAACGGGTAACGGGAATACAGGGTTCGATTCCGGGGAGGGAGTCTGAGAAACGGCTACCACATCCAAGGAAATCAGCAGTCGCGCAACGTGGAGGTAGTGACGAAAAATGACGATACGGGAATCATACCCCGTAATCGGAATGAATACACCATATATCTCTTAATGAGAATAAAGCGTATAAATATATAAGTTTTAATAGTAATTAGAATATATATATACATGTAAAGGGACTTAGGTACGTAAACGTATCATGCATGAGGTATAGCCGTGTTTTGTGGGCGGGAGGAACATTATACACGAGGCATATACGGCGGCAGAGGCGTCGGCTGTAGGAATATATAATCTTCGCATAATATCGCGGCACTTTTGCTGGCGTCGACGACGCGATGTCCGGCGTGATCCTCAGGCGTCAAAATATTAGCAGCGTAGATGACAACAGTGCGCGAGTGCGGATCGGTTTGTTGACGTTGTCACCTTGACAACGAGAAGAAGACTATTAACGGCGGGACGTCGTCGGCCGTGCGGCACTTGCTGGACTTTGCACTACGGCGTAAAACGACGCGGGGCTGTGTCAATTACAATAAAAATTTGTTATATATATATATAATTGATGACACGCGCGCGTCTACGGGTTGAAAAATACGATTTTCAATTTTCAATACGAATTTTTTTCAATTTTTGAGAGTAATGTCTTCGACTAGATACGATTTGTGATCTTTTGACGTATCATTGAAAGAAATCGGTTCGGTGAGAGCTGAGATAAAGTGGTAACAGACACAAAAAAAAAAAACACATCTTAGTAAAACCAATACCTTCTCAGCTTCGCATCGAAGCTAAAAATCTAATGGACTCAGATCAGGAGATCTTGGAGGCCATTCAATGAATCCTCCACGTCCAATCCATCTATCTTCAAAAGTCTCATTTAAAAATCTTCTCACATCTAAGCTAAAATGAGCTGGAGCACCGTCCTGCTGGTACCAAATATTAGTGAGATCATCAAAACTGATAGCTTTAATTGCTGGAACAATTTGGTTTCTTAACAATTCTTTATATTTAGAGCTATTTAAGTTATTTTCTATGAAGAATGGTCCAACTATTCTGTAATTAAATATCCCAGCCCATACATTCAACTTCTCTGGATATTGTGTGTGGGCTTTTATAAACCAATGAGGGTTCTCATCAGCCCAATAAACTGAATTATGTCGATTTATGTTGCCATTAAGAAAAAAAGTAGCTTCAACAGAAAATACAATATTTNAAGTAGCTTCATCAGAAAATACAATATTTTTTGTAAAAAAACTATTTCCATTATATTTTTCCAATATTGTTTCACAAAATGTTACTCTTCTTTCATAATCATCATATTTTAAGCTCTGTACCAAATTGACTTTATATGGATGATAATCTGCATTGTGTAAAATATTAAACACTGATCCTATACTTAAATTCTTATCCTTCGAAATTGCTCGAATTGAGGTATGTGGATTCTCAACAACAGTCTCTATAACTTTACATGACACATCTAATGTTACTACCGAGGTAGGACGGCCAGACCTATTCCTATCTGTAACTATCTTTTCGTTCCAAAATTTGTTATGGGTTTTAAATACTGTACCAACCGAAATAGGAGCTCTATGACAATTTTGTTCATTAAAAAGTGTACAGGCTTGTCTCATTGTACGTTTTTTATCTCCAAATCCAATATAAATAAATAATTATNTATCTCCAAATCCAATATAAATCAATAATTGTATACGTTCATATACTGATAACTTTCCCATAGTTATTCACAAGCTAGATAATAGAAAATAATTATTTTTATGAACATATTTAAAATATTATACTCTTACTAACTTTGATTTGAAATTCCAAAAATGAAGAATGACTTAAATTCAAAAGAATTTTTTTATTTCATAGATTAGCAAATTTATTCAACATTTTTAATCGGTAATACAAAACATAATATTAGAAAATTATTAAAAAAAGACAATTATTAATTTTTCACAAAATAAAACCAGTTCTGTTTTTAGAAAATTATCAAATTCCTTTAAATGTTGATCATCCAGTTTTGTTGTATACATTTTTTTATTTCTTTAAATAACTTTATAGAAATAATGGATGATAAATTATTAACATCCATAATAAATGTGAAAAAAATTTCTATGATTTTAAATTGAATTGAAGTAAACTTCAGAATAGTAAATTCCAACTCCTAACATGTAAAATAAATTATTATTTATTTAAATAAAGTGATTGGAGGTTGAACATTTATAAATACAAATCAAAACAAAAATTGAATTGTAGATTAATTATAATTAAAAAGATGTGTTGAAAACTTTATTATGGAGTAGAACTATATACATTGTATTATCAGTTAAAATTCCAAAATTAGTAATGAAAAATTTATTACAAGTCTTATGTTTAAAAATGTATAAAAATAAATGTTGAACAGAATTTTTTTTATTACTTAAAAATTAAGCTGATCCATTTACTTATCTTAACAATATTTAACATTCAAAATTAATATGGTAATCATTATTTTTTTATATCTTGCATATTTTAGGTAAATTTGTACATTATTAGCATTGATAAATAAATTATTTAAAAAATATTATAAATAAAATTAGTTTAGTTCATTCTTCTTAATTCGTATTAATTTTATTTCTAAACTGCCATAATAATTTTGGCTAAATTTTCTATTTTAAAATACATTAATAGGGTAATATAGAGAGAGCTAGGCCCCCCCGCCTCACCCACTCACCTTCCTTGCGGCGGAGGAAGTGTACGGGGGGATTAAATCTAACGTAAACTAACCTAATGTAATGGTGGGGGAGAACGATGAAACCCAACGTAAACTAACATAATGCAATGGGAGGACGAAACCTTACGTAAACTACTCTATAGGTGGGGGGTGGGAGAGAATTAAACCCAATGTTTTCTAAGAATTTTATCATAGGCTACCAGACGCTTAGGTAAGCATATTTCCAACATCAAAGGTATCGTAATATTATATCGCTCATAAGCGTCTGTAATTTTATATGAGAACAATTGCGTTGCTGTCTGTGTGTTATTAATATTAAATGTACAAATAATTTCTAAGAATTTTATTGTCGGCTATCAGACTCTTAGGTGATCATGTTTCCAACATCAAATGTACAAGTAATGCCTAAGAATTTTATCATCTGCTACCAGACGCTTAGGTAAGCATATTTCCAACATCAAAGGTACCACCGTACAGTAACAATGATTGTCGTATGTATTTTATACAATATTTTAAACATTACTCTACTGATCCATAAAACATTGCTATATCACATATATCGTTAAACGAACGCCGCCGCCTCACACCGCCCACCATCCGTCCGGACTGGTAGAGAATAGGTGTAGCTAAATATGCTTCTAAAATTAGACGTTAAATAGAAATTATGATAAATATTTTTATAAGAACATTGCTATAATCGGTTACCAGACGCTTAGGTAAGCATAGTTCCAACATCAAAGGTACCACCGTTCAGTAACAATGATTATCGTATGTATTTTATGAGAAAATATGTCACCACTGGTGGTGTTTCACGCCTACGCATTTTATTCTTTACTATACCATCAAATGTACAGCTATAATTTCTAAGAATTCTATCATCGACTACCAGACGCTTAGGTAATCATATTTCCTCATATTATCTAGAAGTGATAAAAGAAAAATACGAAACTTGTAACTTGCTATCAATGCAGAGTAAAGAAATCAATAAAAAAGCAAAGGATATGGTGATAAATAAGTTTTATTTGTTACCTGAAAATTTAGTCTATTCAATTGTAAAAACCATTAATACGTCGTTATTACCAAAGACGTCGATGGTATTGTATAATGAAATAATCACATTCGATTACAAATGCATAGTGAAGCGTATATGGGAGAAATTCGTAGTGGATTTTAATAATCAAACAAATCAGAATATTTTAAACACAATGAATAATTGTGCAGTGAACGGGTAAATATTTATTTCTATTTTAAAATTATTAAGCGTTAAACTATGTATGTTATTTTAGAAATAATACCAATTTATATCAATCAAAGTATCAATGAGATAACGACAATGATGAAGAGTATCCTAATAACGGTGTAATGCATTCATTTGAACAAATTGAAAAAATGGGGATGCTGAAACGATATTTTTGATTTTATGGATGAAAAAATTGCAGTAATAATGGAGAAAAAAAATCCTGAAAACATTTGAATGTGTCATTTGTAAAAATGTTGTTTATGAAAATAAAATAAAAATTATTATAATCTCATACTTGTTGATTATTTTATAGTGATCTCAAATGATAATTTCTCACGATGCATAATATTTTAAAAATAAAAATTAAACGATAACAGATAGAACGATGATTAAATATCTAATAGACTTTTACTTCATGTAAAATGGAAGTGACACAGTTAGCATTTAAATAAAGTGCAATCAGCAAATTTCAAAACCGTTAATCATCTCTTGTAACCCACTCCAGCAAATATTTTGAAAGTGTCAATAAATTTTCATCCAATCGCAGAGTAATTAAAAATGATAAATCATCATTTTAAAAATCATGCTATAAAATTGAACGAGAGTCTGTGTGATCACAGTCATCGAGTAAAAGGGTATAAGCGAAGAATTTTTAAAAATTACTACATAATATGAAAACTGAACCGCTGTCTCCAGTACTTGGTGAATACGAATTTGCTAATATTCTAAATAATATAAAAATTTAACAATTTTCACAAGATATGGTAAGTCATTTTTAAATCTCTATGTATGTTTTGTTAATTCAATTACTCTATTTTCACAGTCTCAAGAATTATTGCCTGATATTTGGAGTATGGTTGATTATTACATAAATATCGAAAATCGACCACAGCCCAACCCAATCCAATATTCCATGATTGACGCAGAACAAAATCAAACTCAGATTCATGATAAGGTATGTGTTTAATATATATTTTTTTTTTTTATAATTTTATTATGATTTAATTATAATTATAGAATCAATTGTATAAAGACGGCGCTTGTATTCATTCCGGTTCACATTCGTAATATATATTATATTATTATAGGTGATCATATTTCCATTATCAAAGGTATTACTATACTATAACACTCATAAGCATTTGTATTTTATGAAAATAATTACGATGCCGTCTGTGTATAATTATAGTATAGTAATACCTTTGATAATGGAAATATGATCACGTANTTGGAAATATGCTTACCTAAGCGTCTGGTAGCAGATGATAAAATTCTTAGGCATTACTTGTACATTTGATGTTGGAAACATGATCACCTAAGAGTCTGATAGCCGACAATAAAATTCTTAGAAATTATTTGTACATTTAATATTAATAACACACAGACAGCAACGCAATTGTTCTCATATAAAATAACAGACGCTTATGATCATTATATTACAATTATACCTTTGATGTCGGAAATATGCTTACCTAAGCGTCTGGTAGCCGATGATAAAATTCTTAGAAATTATAATGTCATAACGCCAAACGTTGTCATTGTTCTCATAAAATTCATACGATAATAATCATTACTGTATGGTGACATCTTTAATATTGGGAAATATGCTTACCTAAGCGTCTGGTAGTCGATGATAAAATTCTTAGAAATTATTTATACATTCAATGTGAGAAATATGCTTACCTAAGCGTCTGGTTTACGTTGGGTTTCATCCTCTCCCCCCCCCGCATTAGGTTTGTTTACATAAGGTTTCGTCCTCCCATTGCATTATGTTAGTTTACGTTGGGTTTCATCGTTCTCCCCCACCATTACATTAGGTTAGTTTACGTTAGATTTAATCCCCCCGTACACTTCCTCCACCGCAAGGAAGGTGAGTGGGTGAGGCGGGGGGGCCTAGCTCTCTCTATATTACCCTACTTACATTCTTTCATATTATTATGTTTTTTTATTAATGGTTCATATGTGAATATTTAGCATTATTACTTGGATTCTAAATAGTTTTATAAAATTTTTTACTACCAATAGTTTTATTTTTATTTTGAACTCAATACTTCAAAAAACATGCTCAACTTGATATTTTCTTTACAATAAAAATTAAATTATATTTATATTGAGTTATATTTTAATGCTGATTTTTTTAGAGTGCTTACTTAATAATTGATATCAGCTTTAGAGAATGTATCAATTTTTTAAAATAACTATTGATTTTTATTTTCATTTTTCATTTTAAATATAAATGTAAAATGATAAGTAATTGTTTAATCATAAAAATTGTTTTCTGTTACTAATATTANAAATGTAATGTAACTCGAAAAATATTTGTTTAAATGAAAAAATATACGATACTTTTTTTATTTATAATTGTCTTTTAAACAACTTTTGTACGAAACTTTTTTTTGTAAGTTAAATATTTTTTGAGAAAGTTAAAAAAAGCTCATATTTTGTTGTTAAAAAGTTAGAGCATTATTAAGTTAAAAATATAAAAAAAAATTATTGTACAAAAATCGTAATTTTTTATTAACTTTGATGTCAACTTTCACCACGAAGACAAGTCATGAGGTCAAATTTTTTTTTTTCAAATTAAAGTATATTACATAAGCTTCAATTTAAGATATATATAAAAGTGTCAGATCTTCCGGAACACTTTCAAAAGTTAAGTTGAAAAAGTTCTACTTTCTACATGCATTTTTTATATTTGAAGCCCCCCCATATATAGGGAAATAGTCTGATTTAAAAAAAAAGTATATCCAATGAAAGATGTATATAAATACTACTTCTCATGAAAAAATTGTATTGATCCATACATTTTTTAAAAAGTTATAGCACTTTAAAGTAAAAAATGTAAATTATAAAATCGAAAATTTTCACACAAAAATAGCATTCGGTAGCCGTTTTCACCATGAAGACAAGTCCAGAGGTCAAATTTTTTTTTTTCAAATTAAAGTATATTACATAAGCTTTAATTTAAGATATATATAAAAGTGTCAGACCTTCCGGAACACTTTCAAAAGTTAAGTTGAAAAAGTTCTACTTTCTATATGCATTTTTTATATTTGAAGCCCCCCCATATATAGGGAAATAGTCTGATTTAAAAAAAAAGTATATCCAATGAAAGATGTATATAAATACTACTTCTCATGAAAAAATTGTATTGATCCATACATTTTTTAAAAAGTTATAGCACTTTAAAGTAAAAAATGTAAATTATAAAATCTACAATTTTCACACAAAAATAGCATTCGGTAGCCGTTTTCACCATGAAGACAAGTCCAGAGGTCAAATTTTTTTTTTTCAAATTAAAGTATATTACATTAGCTTTAATTTAAGGTATATATAAAATTGTCAGTCTTTCCGGAACATTTTCAAAAGTTAAGTTGAAAAAGTTAATTTTTTGTAAAAAAGTTACCATTTCGAAACCCCATCCTGTGGGCTGTTAAAGGGTCAAATGTTCACAAAAATATATAAAATGATAGGTAATTATCTAAGGTATCTATAAAAAAAAAAATTATATTGATTCGATCATTTTTAAAAAAGTTATGGCAATTTTAAGTAAAAAAAATTGAAAAAATATCGAAAATTAGCGATTTTTAAATTTGTAATTTTTTGGGGGATTTCCCCCGTTTACG